CTTCATGAAAGCAACAAAGCTGCAACACATAAATTTCGGTAACTCTTTCTACAGCACACAAAGCCCGCAAAATGCAGTTTCGATAGCTTTCATATCCAGCGAACGCCTCGTTGACGTCATATCTTAGAAAGTTTTTCACATCCACTTGCATACAATATACACATGTTTTGCGAACTAACTAAATCATTGCAGAGCGAAGGCCCTTCACGACCCCAAATGCGTAGACAAACTGGTAACAATGTGCAACAAGGGGACAACTTTTATGGTGTACGTACCTAGTACTGGTCACAACTCGTATCTTCTTCAGACGTTACGAGGAACCGATTTTATGCCCATCACTTTTTCAGTTTCGACCGAATATTTGCGGCATTTGATACGCTAGTAACTGCTGGCTGTATTGACAAGTGAGTGGATCTGGGGCAATGGGAGGCTACCAGTTGCCCAAAGTATTTCATTAATCATGGATGTTGATTGTCATTTGTGAGGCATGGTTTTTGTGTGGAAACTAAGAGAGGTTGAGTGCACTACCCGCTCACAATAACAGCCGAGCGCATTGTGGGGCTGTATTTATATTAAAGACCTGATTGGATATAACTGCAAATCAGGCTATAGTTTTAAGAATTTGCGTTGCCATTCTTGAATTTTTCCAGTGAGATGTTTGCTTAAAGCTGTTCATTATGTGCAACCTGGTTTTCTGGTGTGCTATGTCTGCTACGGGTTTTCTGTCACTGGTGCTCTTGCTGTAAACATAAAGCTATGTTTGTCTCATGATTGTTTTATGGTTGGCAGCACACTCTGTTTTGGAATGGCTTTAAAACTTAAGGAATAGTCAAAAATACATTATTTTGTGGGCCTAATTTTCTGACCTTAAAACCTTAGCTTAGCCTTAGCCTCTGACCCAAGCCTTAAGCTTGACAAGACGTAAGCCTTCTTTTGTGTGGTTTTACATGTATATTGCATAGCACTGATGCTATCGGGCCTGTTGAACGTCCTTCTTTGCTGACTTACAAATGCCTCCACTTCTTAGCTGAGATGCTGTGATTTCTTGTTATGTGCTGTGGTGTTAACGTACGATTTTTTTGCGCCTCTGAAATATGGGAGGGAGTGACTCCAGATGTCTGTTTTTGCGTTAACGGCCCATAAAAATGCTATATATGGCGAGCAGCTTCCCAGGAAGTTGAGAGGTGTGCAGGAACTGGTTTTCTCTGAATTACTGTACACTTTCAAGGACCTTCGCTGCGTCCGTCTTGGCCAACGACGTCATCAGAAGCGAGCCATGCCGCTACGGCGTCATGGATCGCCAGCCGGCGTGCACGCAACGCACTGGATGGCCGACCGCGTGGGATAATTCGGACAGAAGTCATGCTGCCGGTGACACATCTGTATGGTGGCACAATTTAGCACCTTACGACATTACGAAAACAGCTGATATTGCTGATCAAGTCGGCTCCTTGTGAGCTAACTATGCTGGAAAAGTGCAAACAAGGTGGTACGCTCGCTTTGAGATGTCAGTGGTTACAATAATCTGTGATGCTTAGCTAAATCTTGAAGATTTGTGGAGATGAGTAGCCCCATTACGACGATCCTGGCATCGCTGTGGGACAGTATAGCACTTTTACAACACATTGCCAATGTCTGAAAGGGATTTTCAGTTAGTCTTATTAAGCTCGCGGAGGGCGGAACGATGACTTCATCCTTCAGCGGCACTGCCTCAAGGCAACGCTGCCGAATTTGTTCGTGGTGGCCACCACAGTTATGCTCGCTAACTGAGCTGACACGCGATGCAGATGCAGCAGCTTCCCCAGCGTGCCAGGCGGGCGCGCACGCCTCGTCACACTCGGGCAGCAAGATCGCAGTGCCCGCAGATCAGATGTTGATTGACGTCGATCAGCTGCCACACCGCGTCATCGTCTGGCCGAAATTTGCAGACTCAACTGGCCCACTACATTCATAGTCCCACTTCCTCGAAAGGAGCGTCACCGTGCCCCCCCCCCCCCCCCCCCCCCCCTCCCCGGAAGAAGAGAAACTAGAGATATTGCCAACGCAATCTTCGGCTGGAGCGTCGAAGTCTCCACCCTTACACCAGCTGTGTCAACAGCAGCAGTCCCTCCAGAAGCGCTGCTGGATGTGGTGACCCGCAGCTGCACCGCTGAAAGCAAGGCATGCAGCGCTGCACGCTGCGACTGCAACAGCAACAGCGCAGGGCCTTTGGCGCACAGACCACTGCAAGTGTTTGGGAGGAACTGAATGCTGTGGCCGTTGCACCAGCAAGCAGATGGACATCGAAGACAACGAGGGAGAGCTAGGTGTGCATAGTGATGACTATAAAAAGAAGTAGAGGATTGTGACGGCTGCTGCCTGGTAATACTGCGCTCAAGGTTTCTTTAGATGTCGTGACACTGTTCATCAAAGGTCTTCTCTGAAATTGATACTTGACTCATAATTTGGCCTAAAATAGACATCGTAGCCTAATGATAAGCCCAGAAATGCGCCCGGCACCCATGATAAGGCGCGCAAAGCGGTATTACACAAACATCTATTTAATTCAAGACAAAATAACGTAATTGGCTAACATTCAAGATAGCGACGGCTGCCATCTCTAATTCTGACGAATGCTCAAGATTGCACAAATAGCAGCCAATCCAATTTGGCTATCCTAATAATGAACATATTTCCGTGACAAAAGTTTGCGGTAATAAACGTTACAGGACCAAAGTTTTGACAACTTCCCTATTCAAGCTCACCTGAAAGTTGCTCGTGGAAAAATTTCCATTTTTATGTGATCATAGCGTGAGTTGCGCCGTGGTCAATCGTTTGAGTACAAGTCCAAGTTACGACGACAAATACCTCCCAAGATCTCAAGAATGCAAAATTGAACCTCAGACCGGACAAGCGCCATGGAAACGGGACAAAACTAGGGTTAAGCGTTATCGCTATGCAAAAGGTCCCACTGAAACAACAGCTTCTGTGGGTCGAAGACGCAGGATTAACAGTCCAGAGGAAGTATTTCGGGTCTACTTTCTCAAGACCTCGGCATCGACCGCAACGTCGTGCACAGACACATCCCAGCCCCATTCACCCACGCGAGGAAGCAGACGTCACACCGTCATAGGGGTCGGCCAGAGGTCAATGCGGTGGGGGGGGGGGAGGGGGAGTGCCCGTCCTCCGGTCGGGGGACTTCCGGGAGGCCCCGGTGCACGTCCGCTGGTTTTCTCAGCGCCGCCAGGCTACATCCCGGCAGCGCGGAGTCGGGCTATAGACTAACATACTACGAAGATGCTATCAACATATTAACATGCATTTCGGGCAAAGCTCGGACTACAAGCTGGCATGAGCGGTTGGCACGACTTCAGGCGAGGCATCAAGCCAACCGGTCTGGTGGGAGCAGGCTGGCGCCGCCCTCAGAGGCCAGTGCTGTCCTCAGAGGCCCGTGCTGTCCTCAGAGGCCGGTGCTGTCCTCAGAGGCCGGTGCTGTCCTCAGAGGCCGGTGCTGTCCTCAGAGGCCGGTACTGTCCTCAGAGGCCGGTGCTGTCCTCAGAGGCCGGTGCCGCCCTCACAAGTCGGTGTCGCCCTCAGAGGCCGGTACCGCTCTCAGAGGCCGGGCCGCTCTCAGAGGCTGGGACCGCCATCACCACGGGTACGCTGTCTCAGCGGCACGGCACCGGAACAGTGCTGTGCGAGATGAAGCGCTCGTTAGAGCGCCTCGCGGCTTGAGTTTTTGGAATCCGGCCCTACCTGGCCCGGCTGCCAGGAGTATAATCCGTCCGCCAATCCGGCTCTTTCAAATTGACGACCATTATCGGGTCCGGTCCGGCGAAGTAAAAATATACTTGAAATAAAATTCCGACCCAGTTCGCATTCACGTCCGTGTTGTTGTCATCATGAACAGACCAATGAGCCACATATCAGCATGATAA